TCATTTGACAACTGAACGCAACAGGCATGTTGGTTTTGGAGTTAAAGTAAATTAAATTGCACTCAGAGAAAGCCACATGTACCCACACAGATCAGAACTAAATTAACCCAGTAATGAATACAGCTAATTTGATATGCTGTTCTCACAGTCGTACTTATGATTAGAATGCAGTGTCTCATTAATTGAATACCTTCTTGGTTAGCAGTAGTTTTGGCTGTAATCTGAAGTTACCATAACTTTAAGTGAATATTATGTTTGGGCTTTTTTTTTTCTACAAATATTGGTGATATGATGAACTTGATAAGTAAGATTTTGTGTGTGGGGGTATTTGTTTCATGAACAAAGATAGAACAATATGATAATACTGTTATACGTAGATAATTAGCATTACGTTGCAGAAAGTAAAGGAAAATGGAAGGATTGATTGATTTGGTTGATGGCGATTAAAGAATTTTTCTTTAATTTCTAGAGTATTTCAGCCATTCATGAGATGAGTGCCCGGGAAGGACAGACTCAGGTTTGTTAACAAAATTGTACTTGAAATTTATGTGTTGAAAATTATCATAAAGCTTAGAAATTGAATATCTATATTTTTTGTGACCACTATAGCTCGCATACAGTTATATATAAATATAAATGAAGCATATAAAATAATGACAAAATATTTTGTGTTACTTAAAAAACGGACCCAGCAAAAAATATTGTAGTACGTAAGCACTTGTTTCGTTAAATGGCCTTGAATATTAGTAATATGTTCAGGGTATTCCCCAAAAGTAGAAATACTGGTGTATGTATCAAAATAAGCATTTAGTAAGATTTGTATCTTAAGCTTTTAGATTATTTATACTGCTCTGTACTAGTTTTCAAATTAAATTTTACAAAAGCAGGCTATGAAAAAGACTTGTCAGATATTACTATTTGGTAAATGAGGTAGTGAGAACAACCACATTCACAGTTTCTAGATCCAAACGTAATGAAATTGGAATATTGTGTCAATCTACTGATAACTAATGTATAACACTTAAGTAATGATTCGTTGCTGTTGAGTTAAAAATACTTGTATAACTAGACATTTTTTTGTTTCTCTTGTTGAATAGTTTTGTTGAATATCTCTTCAATTAAGACATCAGATCTCATGAATTGAGAAAAAATGTTTTTATAGTTATTCTAGATTATATCAGTAGCTTGGTGAACTGTTAACCTGTAGATCTTGTTGGTAGCTTAATGAATTGTTAACTCTTTTGGCATGGGCTCAGTCCCTAGGACCAACATCATAACCATTTTGTGCTTGTTATCAGTTTTTATGCTTTAGCTTTTAAATTAGTAAGCATATCTTTACAAAATGTTTGCATATTATCAGTAAACATTACAAGGCTTTTATATGCAAGATATCGGATATTTTTATTAAGTTTTAAGATATTTTTAAGTAATGTTTTTCTCATGCCTTTTTTCTTTTCAAATGCTG